AAGGGTCTAGGCCCGAAACGTCAGCCTTCCTGCTCCTCTGATGCTGCTTGGCCTGCTGTGTTCATCCAGCTCTACACGTTTTATTTGCACCTCCTTCATGCTATCGTGTACTCAACTTTAAAGATACAATTATATTGCAAGAATTATTTGATCTAAATCTTAACTTTATGCATACGGATGAACTTGCATTCAGTGTCTAAAATGCTAGCAAGTAATAGTATTACTAGGGCACATGCGTAAAAAGTTTGTTTTCCTCAGTGCTCAGAACTTGCAGGGATACACCTTGCAAATTGGAAAACACATGGCTTCTAACAAGGTCTGATTTTCTAATTAACCCATTCAGAGATGTTATGAGACACCTCTAGAGCAGGCGACACTTGAACCCAGGCCTCGTGGCTCACAGGTGGGGACACTATCATTACACCACAAGAACCCATTTAATAAAATGTATCCCAACTTCAATAAATACACATGTCTAGCAATTATTACACTGATACCTAATGCAAAAGTGTGCAACTAATGGGAATGCGCCCTCAATAATAAGCAAATTAAATAAACATTTACCTGATGAAAAATCTCAAATCCAGCTTTTGATTTCAGCAACAAATTGAGGATACTTACAGAAGACAGAAAGGCAGGTTCACTGAGAGGGCTGTACGAGTGGACATGGATTTTATGCCAGGCTGTCCTTTGTGAAACAAAGAGCCAACTCAATTAACAAATCAGAGAAGACATCAGATATGGGAGGCATTCCTATGTCATATGTGAAGATTACAATACTGCAAATGTTTACATGAATGAATAGCGTATTTAGCTTAATTCTAGTATGTTAAATATTCTATCAATTTGTGACATAAACTAATAATGACTTGATAATGGGACAACAAGGAACAAAGAAGAAATACAGAAAATAGAGATGTGAAAATGCAATTATTACCATAGTATTCATAGACACATGACAGTTTTAGGGCATTCAATTATCTCCTTTACTGCTGCCGAGACCAAAAGAACATACAGACTAGCCACTCATTTCATCTTCTTGCAGAGAAAATCTCCAAACTTTTAGAACACACTGAACTAATCAGTATGATGATGCATATATAACTCTTACCAACTTTATTTAGGATCTTCACAGGATGGAAGAATAAAAGGTGTTGATGATATGCAAACTGACAGAAACATTCACATTTCCTGTACCTGAATGTGTGATCACATCGTTTAGCTTAAATAAGTAGGTTTCAGCAACTTTTCATAAGAAGTGTTGTGATTTGTCCTGGATGCAATAACAAGTCTATGAACATACATGTATATATTGTATATGAATTAGGAGCAGAAGTAAGCCCTTTGTACCCTCGAGCCAGCTGTCATTTAGTAAGATCAGATGATCTGTACGCGTGTCAAATTTCACATTCTAATCTATTATGATAACATTCTGGATCTTATTCATCTCTGCTTAAAAATATGCAGTGATCTGCCTCCACAGCCTCTGAGGCAGAGTTCCAAAGTCACACATCCTTCGGAGAAAATAATTTACCTCATCTCCGTCTTAAAAGGATGGCTCCTAATTTATAACAGTGTTCCTAGTTCTGGGTTCATCCACAAGATGAAATATCTTTTCTACATTCACTTTGTCAGGACTATTTTGGATATTGTACACTTCAATCAATCATTCTTCACTCTTCAAAACAAGCCCAGTATTGCACAACATTTCCACATGAGATAACCCAGTCATTTCAGGTATCAATCCATAACCCTTCTCTGAGTTGCCTCCAACATATTTGCATGTTTTCTTAAATCAGAAAGCCAAAACAATTAACATAATTATTCTGGTCCTTCAGTGGAACATGTCTCTCCATACTGTCATCACCACTGTCACAAACTCCAGCAAGCACCAGACACAAATTGCTGGCAAGAATAGCATTTGTGGTACATCCCTAATCTGCTTGCCAGATTATTTCAGAAGGCAGTCAAGAGCCAACTATTATTGTTGCATGTAGGGCAGACCACATGAGGATGGCAGATTTTGTTCACTAAAGAACATTAGTTAACCAGAGATAGTAGGAACTGCAGATGCTGGAGAATCTGAGATAACAAAGTGTAGAGCTGGATGAACACAGCAGGCCAAGCAGCATCAGAGGATCAGGAAAGCTGACGTTTCGGATCTAGACCCTTCTTCAGAAATGGGGGAGGGGAAGGGGATTCTGAAATAAATAGGGAGAGAGGGGGAGGCAGATAGAAGATGGATAAAGGAGAAGATAGGTGGAGAGGAGACAGACAGGTCAAAGAGGTGGGGGTGGAGCCAGTAAAGGTGAGTGTAGGTGAGGAGTTAGAGGGGGGATAGGTCAGTCCAGGGAGGCAGTCTTTTTTTGCAGGAAGGTGGGTGAGAGGAGGTGTATTCTAGGTAGCTGTGGGAGTCGGTAGGCTTGAAATGGATATCGGTTTCCAGGTGGTGGAAACAGAGAGGTCCAGGAAGGAGAGAGAGGTGTCAGAGATGGTTCAGGTAAATTTAAGGTTGGGGTGGAGGGTGTTAGTGAAGTGGACGAACTGTTCGAGCTCCTCCTCCCACCCACCTTCCTGCAAAAATGCCATCCCCTTCCCCTCTTCCCACTTCCTTTGCCTCCGCCACATCTGCTCCTGGTATGAGACATTCGTTTTTCAAGGACTGCAACTTCCCCCCCAACAGTGGTCAAAAACGCCCTCGACCGCGTCTCCCGCAACTCATCCCTCACACCCCCCTCCCCGCAATAACAACCAAAACAGGATACCCCTCGTCCTCACGTACCACTCCACCAACCTCCGGATCCAACGCATCATCCTCCGGCACTTCCGCCATCTGCAATCTGACCCCACTACCAAAGACATTTTTCCCTCCCCACCCTTATCTGCCTTCCGGAGGGACCACTCTCTCCGTGACTCCCTCGTCCGCTTCACACTCCCCACCAGCCGCACCACCCCTGGCACTTTTCCCTGCACCCGCAGGAAGTGCTACACCTGCCTCTACACCTCCCCCTTTACCCCCATCCCAGGCCCCAAGAAGACCTTCCACATCAAACAGATGTTCACCTGCACATCTGCTAATGTGGTTTACTGTATCCACTGTGCCTGATGTGGCCTCCTCTACATCGGGGAAAGCAAGTAGAGGCTTGGGGACCGCTTTGCGGAACACCTACGCTCGGTTCGCAACAAACAACTGCACCTCCCAGTCGCGAACCATTTCAACTCCCCCTCCCACTCCTTAGACGACATGTTCATCCTGGGCCTCCTGCAGTGTTACGACGATGCCACCCAAAGGTTGCAGGAACAGCAACTCATAATTTCGCTTGGGAACCCTGCAGCCCAATGGTATCAATGTGGACTTCACAAGCTTCAAAATCTCCCCTCCCCGACTGCATCCCAAAACCAGCCCTGCTTGTCCCTGCCTCCCTAACCTATCCTTCCTCCCACCTATCCCCTCCTCCCACCTCAAGCCCTACCCCCATCT